CATCACCTTTATCCTCAGCTTCTTTAGCAAGGCAGTGGTTGTCTTGGAGGTGTGTTTGGGGTCGTTATCATGTTGGAATACTGCTCTGCGGCCCAGTCTCTGAAGGGAGGGGATCATGCTCTGCTTCAGTATGTCACAGTACATGTTGGCATTCATGGTTCCCTCAATGAACTGTAGCTCCCCAGTGCCGGCAGCACTCATGCAGCCCCAGACCATGACACTCCCACCACCATGCTTGACTGTAGGCAAGACACACTTGTCTTTGTACTCCTCACCTGGTTGCCGCCACACACGCTTGACATTATCTGAACCAAATAAGTTTATCTTGGTCTCATCAGACCACAGGACATGGTTTCAGTAATCCATGTCCTTAGTCTGCTTGTCTTCAGCAAACTGATTGCGGGCTTTCTTGTGCATTATCTTTAGAAGAGGCTTCCTTCTGGGAGGACAGCCATGCAGACCAATTTGATGCAGTGTGCGGCGTATGGTCTGAGCACTGACAGGCTGACCCCCCACCCCTTCAACCTCTGCAGCAATGCTGGCAGCACTCATACGTCTATTTCCCAAACACAACCTCTGGATATGACACTGAGCACATGCACTCAGCTTCTTTGGTCGACCATGGCGAGGCCTGTTCTGAGTGGAACCTGTCCTGTTAAACCGCTGTATGGTCTTGGCCACCGTGCTGCAGCTCAGTTTCAGGGTCTTGGCAATCTTCTTATAGCCTACGCCATCTTTATGTAGAGCAACAATTCTTTTTTTCAGATCCTCAGAGAGTTCTTTGCCATGAGGTGCCATGTTGAACTTCCAGTGACCAGTATGAGAGAGTGAGAGCGATAACACCAAATTTAACACACCTGCTCCCCATTCACACCTGAGACCTTGTAACACTAATGAGTCACATGACACCGGGGAGAGAAAATGGCTAATTGGACTTTTATTTTGGATGCGATTAATCGTTTGACAGCACTAGAATAACAATAGCTGTTGTTCATATTTCGGTTTTCCCTGCTAATATTTTTACTGGCCCAAACACAACACAAATAAATAAATAGATGCACTTTTTTATATGTTGAGATTTATAATTTAATGTTACATTTGTCATTTTTTTTGTTAAAATGTTAAAGAATGTAAATGCATTTTTCACTTTATATTTATTTAACTCTAAAAATTAAAGGACCTTTTGTCATAAATTAGGATTCATTTATTTTCACATTTAGAATTTTTCATAATTAAAATGTTCATAAGTTAAGATTTATCATGTAATGTTTACATTGCTGTATTTTGTTATTAAATCAAATAAAAAAAATATAAATTTTATCATTTGGTTTACATATGAATATTATATAATTAAAAAGAATGTAATTTTTTATAAATTAAAATTTATGTGTGTTTACATTTATATGTTTTCCGTTTTATGGTATATTTAACAAATTATAAATATTTTTATAAATTACTATTTCTTAAATTGTGCTTTGTTATTTTCTATTTACATTAACTATTTTGTAAATAAAGATGTATCATTTTATAAGTAAAATGAACAATTATAAATGTTATTTTTTATAAATTAAGATTGATCATTTTATGTACACATTTACAATTTTTGTATTCAAATTAAAAAAATAAATGTTTTTTAATATTAATTAAAATATATAATTTTATGCATGATCCATAAATTATAATTATATACATTAAAAAAATCAGTGAAGACATTGAGTTTATTTTACATTGAGTATATATATATATATATATGAGACTATATGGCCATTTAAGGTTCTTCTAAATGTTTTGTGAAGGCGTTGAAGGGTGAACATGAACCATCTGGTACATGAACTATTAAAAGGGAAAATGGGAATTATGGGTAAATGTCAAGGGTCATCACCTGGTCACACAACACCCTGAAAGATTAAGTAAGATGTCAAGTAAACTAAAGTCAATGTTAACGCCCGTCTTAGCAAGGTCCAGGTTGTTTCATAATCATCATATTTTATCTGTGTTTATAGAGCATAATTCATTCCCGTACAAGACAAAGGCCGAGATGAGACGGCACGTCGCCCAGTCAGAGCATTTCACGCTGTCGGACCTCAAGGGCCTGCCGGAGCTCAATCCGCCCTCGCTCATGCCGGTGGGGAACGTCGGCACGCCTGTGTGCGTTTTCCTGGAGCTCATCCAGTCCTGCCGTCTGCCGCCGCGGCTCATCCGCAAACTGGGGCTCACGTTTCCCAAGACGGGCTCGAGTCGCCGCTACGGGAACGTGCCCTACCTGTATCACAACACGGCCCTCGTGAGCCGCGCGGAGGAGAGCGTCTTCACCGCCGGAGGAATCGAGATCTCGGCGCCTGGCCACCTGGACACGCCCACAAACTCACAGACAGTAGATAAGGACACGCCCACAAACTCACAGACAATCGATAAAGGCACGCCCACAAACTCACAGAAAGTAGATAAGGACACGCCCACAAACTCACAGAAAGTAGATAAGGACACGCCCACAAACTCCCAGACAGTATATAAGGACACGCCCACAAACTCCCAGACAGTATATAAGGACACGCCCACAAACTCACAGACAGTAGATAAGGACCCGCCCACAAACTCACAGACAGATGAAGAGGACCCGCCCACAAACTCACAGACAGATGAAGAGGACACGCCCAGTTCTCCACTTGTCAATCAAGAGTCAGGAAGTGAAGAGGAGCTGTCCGACCCTGATGATGTGAGTTAGGGCTGCATGATAAAATAATCAAGTTTATGCTGCGATATGCTTAGTGCGGTTGTCATATTGCACAGGCTGCGATTTAAATTAAAATAAAATAAATCAAATAATTTATTTTTTATAAATCAAGATTTATCATTTTATATTTTAATATAAATTTTATTTATTTAATTAATTATTAATGTTTTTTTTTTTAATTCATGGAATTTATATAATTTATCAAATTAATTCTAAAATCTAAAGCCTAATCTGTTAATCCATTATTATGGTTTATAGTCATATTGAATGGGTCAGAAACGGTGGGAATGTAGCCTTTGAAAAGAATCTGAAAGAGAGTTTTTGTAAAGAATAAACCAAAGTGTAAACATTACAGTTTTTCGTGTTTTTTTTATTGTTCAGCCCTAAAATAATGCATTGCCATTTTTATTTTTTTTATTTTAGCACTTTCCCTGTTTATTTATTTGGTTATTTTTGATTTTTTTTCATGTTTTAAAGGATAAATATTACATTAAAATTATTAATTTATTAAATTATTTTCTATGCAGATACACTTCCCAACAAAATCACCTCGCTCATTCTAGAATGATTCATTATTTCCAAATTGAGCTATTTAAGTCATCTTTTTCCAAATTGTAAATAATTTAAAACATGAAAAATTTAATTAATTATATATTTTTATATATATATAAAATCATAAAAACCCTGATGTAATGGCCTTGTACTCTGAAGACTTTTCAGTCAGTTTTCTCCCAGTGTCGTGCATGTGAGTGTCGTAAAGGGGCTTTCGAATGTTTTTGCGTCTGGATGAACTTGTGTATGATTTCTGTGTTTTCTGCAGGACGATGACCGCTGTGAGGAGTGGGAGCGTCACGAGGCCCTCCACGAGGACGTCACCAGTCAGGAGCGCACTAAAGAGAGGCTGTTTGAGGAGGAGATCGAGCTCAAGTGGGAGAAGGGCGGATCGGGCCTCGTCTTCTACACAGACGCTCAGTTCTGGCACGAGGAGGAGGAAGGAGGTAGAAACAGCTATTTTGAGTTCATACTGAAAGGTTTCTGTTGGTCCAGTAGTACAGATTTCTACTTGCCATGCCAATATTGTAATTGGTCCCATCACAAAAATAGATTTAATAGAATAGAAAATTCTATTAAATCTATCTATCTTTTAATAGAAAATTAAATTTAATTATTATGTATAAATATTTATCATTTTTATACATATTTATTATGTTTTAATAAATAAGTCATATCTATTATTATTATTATTATTTTATTTGTTTTCATATTTTTATTATTATTTTGTAAAAAAACATTTTTTAATTAAAAGTTAAAAAGTATATATATATTTTTTTTCATAAAGTAAGGTATGATTTTTTAAATTTACATTTATATTTTTTAGAATTAAAATTTAAAACTTAGATTTTTAAAATATTAAATTTATAATTAATATTAACAATTATACATTTGAGATTTGAAATTAAGATTTGTTTTATATTTTATTTATTTTATATAATTTTTATATGTTTCATATCATTTTATATTTGCATTTATAATTTTTATGTTTTCAGGAATGCTTATAAATACAATAAACAATTAATATGTTCATTAATATATTCATATAACTCTGGTTAATAAACTTCACAGTAATAGCTGGAAATGATACAGTTTTTGTAATTAATCCTGGAAACGCAAACACTATTTATTCATTTATAAATAAAACATTATGGGTTAGTTTTGTAATTTTTAACACATTTCTTACTGATTTTATCAAGACTGCCACACGTTATTCTAGCATTTTAACAAAACCAATAATTTTTCCAAGTTTAAAAGGCCCTGAATAGGAAAGATGCTGCGCTTATAATTGCCAGCGTATATTTATGAATTACTCCGTTGATGTGATTGCCTCTCTTTGATGTTGCACAGATTTCGACGAGCAAACAGCAGACGACTGGGACGTGGATATGAGCGTCTACTATGACAAAGGTAAAGGTTCATGATCAGATCATTGTGAGCGCTGGGATAGAAGAGCAGCATCAGACGTGGCTGATTGTGTGTGTTTCTGCTCAGACGGAGGCGATATGGACGCCAGAGATTATGTGCGCATGCGCTCTGAGAGGAGGCTGCGGGACGGTCTGGACGGTCTGCCGGGACGCCAGCAGAAAATCGGCAGCTTTGAGCGCTTTACAAAGGTTCGGATGTTTTTAAAGGGGTCAAGAACTGCCTTTGTTGTTTATTTTGTACTGTTCTGACACAATCTGCATTGTAAAAAGTGCGATATAAATAGTGGTGACTTGACTGGTTCTCTGAGGTGCACTTTAGGGCTGTAAAAAAAAACATTAGAATTTAGAATATTCGTCGAATTTAAAATAAAAATCCGAATTTTAGGTGTGCGTTAAAGAGGCAGCCTTATCAGCAGCGCACGAGATGCGACGACGATGTAAGTGTCATTGCATTTTAATGCTTTTGTTAGCCTATCCAGTTGAAGCCACTAGATGCGGCGCTGCTGCGTTGTTCATTAAAAATATTGCGGGAAAAGAGAACAATCAATGCAGAGAAGATCTTGTTTTCATCAAAACTGAAACCAAGCCATTCACACAGAATGCATATTTCGCACATTTTCTAGAGCAGTGTTGGGCACCCTTTGGGAATGAACAAACTTGCGGCACTCTACAAAATAAATTGTCACAATATTTGAATTTCTAACTTCGATATGATAATTTGAAAAGTATAGATATTCGGTACAACAGGGAAGAACTGCAGAATATAATGTTATACAGATATTTTTAATATTATTATAAAATTTGTCCATCAATGGTGGAAATCAGTAGGCTAATTTCTAATGAAGAGACCAATTTATATGACAGATTTTAATGTAGGCTTTTATACATATGTAAACATTATTTAATTACCATTATAACTAGCTATCTCACAAATTTTTGCTCACTCAGTGTTTTTTTTTATTTTACAGTGGGGTAATTTTTGTGCAGTAGCACGAGATAGCTTGATTTCAAACTTTGAATTGAATAAAAAATGACAAGTAAACAGTCAGTAATAAAATAAGAACAAATAAAGAAATTAATAATGAT